GGGTTCGGACTCTTTCTCTGCTCTGCACTCATCAGTCCAAAAAGGATGAAAGAGTACAAGCCATGGATTGAAATTAGAAGTTCGGATAGTGTTCTGCTGTACATGTATTGTTAGTGTTGGCATTGGAGTCTGAGGCAACAACCAGATGCACGCACAAGCAGATAGTGCAACACAAGAAAGTTATTAAACAGTAAAAGTGATGCCAAGTGCAGCCGTTTATATAATAGGCTTCGGTCAATACAACGCTGCTTTCTTCATAGCCTGCTAGGTCAGACCATGGGTGTCAGGTCTTCGTCAATCCAGTGTTGTTGCCTATAGGCACACAATGTCTGTATTATCTTCTGTTTTTTTCTGGTCTGTTTTCCAGTTATAGTCTGATCAATTCTTGCATTACTTTTCTCAAGGTGAAGTTTGTATACATGTATGTAGTGTTACGTAGTCAAGTGGTGTGCTTCACTGTCCGAAGAGTGCTCAATGCCCATGTAGGGCAGAGCCTTGTACACAAGAGAGAGTTTGGAAGCTTTGTCACAACTCCGAGTTTCACGTATCTCTACGATCATCAGGCAACCTGATGATCGTAGAGATACGTGAAACTCGGAGTTGTGACAAAGCTTCCAAACTCTCTCTTGTGTATGTAGTGTTAGAAAGAGTGTCCAGCTTCAAGGGGCTATACCCTGTACCTGTAGTTTGATAGCCGCATCTGTCTTCACCACCTGCAGCCGTCTAGCTTCCCTGGCGGCATGGGCGTCCTGTAGCAAGTCATCCTTCTTACTGTGTGCGGAAGCAAACATGCTGCACTCCCTTATTGCCGGACGACGTCACTGATGTACGACTCCCTTATCATAATGAAATAGAGCACGACGGCTGAGTGCTCTGTCGAGTTAGCCGCCACAGTGCAGTGGGTTATCCGTACCAAAAGACCAGCACCACAATGTTATTCTGCCTTGTAGACGAAGTTTTGAAGAACGACACTCTGTCGAATTGATGAGATGAGCGTGAAGGCAGTACCGTGTCGTAAAGCTGTTGTGTGACAGCACTTCAAGTTCAACGTAGCTCTTCGTCTACTGTATTTACAGACTGATAGAGTGATAGAGTACAAAATGATCAAACACAACAGAATAATCAATGCGTTTTCATTGACAATATTCTGTAATATACTTTTTTGAATTGGCAGCTTATGTTTTGCTGGCTTATGACATCATTAAGAATCACATGCACCACACGAATGACGTAATTTGATACTTCAAACATTTCCCGTGCAAACCGGGCAGGTCCACTACAATATTTTTTGCGTCTGAGGCTAGATCCGCTCGGAAGTCGGCGCCGCCCGCGACCGGTCGACCCGATATCCTTTTTTCGACGCTGCGTGTGGCGTAAAACACCACTTCTTTTGTCGAATCAAAAGTGAAGACAACTCTGCTCTGACTCAACTCAGCAGTACAAGAAGGAGTCTTCTTTTACATTTCCAGATCGTAATCTGTTGTTATGTCTATGGTCGTTAGTGACAGAAATCGTTTAGGTTGCTTTGCTTCAGCTTCTCAGTTTATTTCATAACGTTTCTCACTAATAGTCTGAAAGATTTGATCAGTGGTTGAAGGAGTAGTATTTCATTTATTGGAGTCATGTCTGGAGAGGAAGAAATTGATAAGTTGGAGACGTCTGCTGCGGAAATTCTATGTCAGCTGCGAGACGGCCAAGAGAGTTCCTCAACATCTCCATCGCCAACAAGCGAGATTACGACTGCTTCATCATCAGGTGCGTGTAAAAACGATCAGCAGTGCTGTGATCAGTGGATGGAACTCAAAGCAGCACGATAATACATGCCTGTTTAGTACTAAGTACTGGACACAGTTGACTCCATACGTGCATACACGTGCCTGTACACCCAAAACATTGTCCCTCGCGTGTGTGCAGTATTCTATTGGTTTTTCCCCGAATGGCAAAAACAAGAAGAAAATATACAGTACTAGCAGCACCCCCGGCCAGCGTTGCCTGGCCGTATGTGGCATGCGGGTGAAGCAAGTACATGAACAGCACACGTGCTCAGCACGTGGTGGTGGCCAGACCGCTGAAGTCCTGGTGAGGGAGGTTCTTCATCGTTGGAAGGAGAAGGAGGGACGTCTGTTACGCCTTCGGGAGGCTGGTCAGGGTTGTCCATCACCTGGTGGCGGATGAAGCGGCTCAAAAAATTCATAAACTTACGAACAAAAGTGCGATGCGCTCTTCACTGCAGATCAGATGCAGAGTGCAGTCAGTGCAGATCTTTTGTATCCTTTTGTTGCAGATGTTTCTATTTGCAGAGAACGGTTCACGTGGTCCGCAGCGCTTGTGCGGCTGCTAGTGCTACCTATGGCCTAGGCTAGGTGGCTACATGATTCGCACGCTTCGCGTGCTCAGTGCTTCTGCGCGCGGCTGCTACTGCTACTCGTACTGATTGTGTCTGCTACCACCTACACTGTTCGCACGCTTCGCGTGCTCAGCACGTGGTGGTGGCTACACGATTCGCACGCTTCGCGTGCTCAGTGCTTCTGTGGCTGCTTCCGCTAGCTACACGCTTCGTTCGCACGCTTCGCGTGCTCAGTGCTTCTGCGGCCGCTAGCTACACTGTGCTACACTGTTCGCACGCTTCGCGTGCTCAGGGCAGCGCTGCTCCGCAGCGCTTCAGCGTGACACAAAAACACACGTCACAGGTGCCTCTTCTTTATAAGGAGCGTGACACACACAGACACACACACAGACACACACACAGACACACGTCACAGGTGCCTCTTCTTTATAAGTAAAGATACATGTATAGACTAGGCTGGCTGTTGCGTGCTGTCGAAATGTGTATTATGGCTCTGTGCCTCCAAAATCAATGTTGAAGAGCAAAGCCATGTCGCAGCTACTAACAAGAGTACGCATCGGTTATCTCGAACACGTTTGGTGCAATTGCTGGCTCATTCTTTATGCAGAGCTGCGATTTAAGAGTGTCACATGACATAAACCAAATGATCGCGGATTGCACCATCTGATAGCAAGGTACATGTATCGCGAAATCTTACATGATGTGAAATTCTGCCGTCGCAAACCTGTAGTCTACAATCAGTCAATCACTATTGCCGATTGTTGCTGTCGCCAAGAGATGGCAAGAGTACGCAACACCCAATAGTGTACACCTCGGCTCTATGGGGTTTGCAACGGCAGAACTTCACACCATGTGATAACACACCATCTGCACCCTGTGCACGGTAGCCACAGGGCTGTACGCAACCCTGTTTTGGGTACAACTCTGTGGTGGTCACTTGGGTTTGCCAGCGCAACCTCTTGAATCATGTTGTGTGATGTGAAACTGTGTCGTCACAGCACTGGATAGAGATAGTACAGGCAGCTGGACACTTTTGGGGCTATGTATTCTTGCTATCGCCAAGAGTACATAATTATACCCTGCTCTCCCACAGTAATGTCAAGTTGACGTCGTTTTTATGATGCAATGCTCCTTCACCAGTAAATCACGACATTTGTACGGGGTGTCAAAGCATCACACGTTTTTTCTTCGCACAAGCTTGTACAGGATCAAATGGGGCTTTGTCCACCACAGGTTCAGGACATGTCTGATAATAAGTGTACAGCGCGCGCATTGCATCATAAAAATGACGTCAATTTGAAAATCTGTCGGGACAGCACCCATAGTCGAGTTGCATACTCTTGGGGGTTATGTGCTCTTGCACGTAGGTACCCACGGGTGAAGTGAGCAGCTTGCTTAATGCCTTCACCTGACACCCAAATCTAAGTGCCTGTCCATGCCACGACCATAATGGAATTTCTTGAACGTCTTTATTGCTCGCGTGATCAGTGACGTGACATGCGAACATAGCCGGCACACGAACCACAAAATATAGCCCTGTGGACCCTGGTAATGTCAGATGCCGCTACGTACTGTCTTTTACATAGCTTCGGGAATAAAGTATGGATGTCCACATGTATGTCCTGTTATGGGTATGGCATACTGAAGTTTCACTGTACTTTGATCGGTATGTGGCAGATTGTCGGGCTAAGAAGTCAAATAATTATATTTCTGTGTCTTGGTTTGTGGGTTCTTCAGGAAAACGTGACCTGCAGTGCACTGAATGTTCAAAACCGTTCCCGACACCATCCAAGTTGAATACCCATCTTCGTACACATTCAGGTGAACGTCCATTCTCATGTGAGATTTGCAACAAGGCATTTCGACAGTCATCGCATCTAAGAGTTCATGAGCGGACGGTTCATGTCCAGGAGAAGCGGCACAAATGTGAAGACTGTGGCAAGACGTTTGGTCAGGCGCCCCACCTTGCGTCTCATCAACGGGCTCGCCATCAACAGCAACGGCCGTTTGTTTGTACAGTGTGCTCTCGTAAGTTTGTGCAGTCCAACCATTTGACGGCACATGGGCGGCTACACTCGGGCGAACGGCCATACGCCTGTCTGGACTGTGGCAAAACCTTTCGGCAGTCGGGTCACTTGCGGATACATGCTCTGACACACTCGGGAGAGCGGCCGCATGCGTGCGACGACTGTGGTGCTCGCTTTAAGCAGAAGCAGCACCGCACAAAGCATGTCTGTAGACCTGAAGATCAAGCACCAGCAACTAACGGCGATAGCCCCAAGAGTGGTGTTTCTGAGGAGGCAATCCCGAAAGTAGTTACTGTTGAGGTTACATAACCTCTGTGGACTCCCACTGTTTCCTTCCCTTTCTACGTCGTAGTAGATTTCAGGACTTCTTTTCGTATTCTTTTATGATTTTTGCGTAGGACAGTCTTTTATCACAACAATCAAACTTCATCATTGACCTGAGTGTCTTTACACAATGCACCATGCTTCATTGCCTGCTTAGCCTGCCCTTGGCGTATCATCCGACCTCACATATACATTCTACTATTGTAGGTATGCTTCACTCACGGCTTTTACAGCAGTTGAAATAGTGTTTTATGCGTACACTGTAATGTCGTGTTTTATATATTGATGTGTAATAATCGCACTGCACTGTTTTGCTTGTCTTCTGGCTTCTTGTTCAGTCACTGGTATCGGCTGGATCATTCCCCTGTCAGCTGGTTGGAAACCTGTCACTTGCTTGTACCTGCTAATAACCATGTGTCTCTCTTATCGTTAATTTGCCCCTTCATTATGTACATGTACGGTATGCCTCGAGTTTTTTTGATTTTATGATGATTTTCGGATTACCGGTATGTGGCCTTGCAATGATGACTGATCAAACATCTGTAGCCTTTCACAGTGTGACCCTTAGCTAGGCTAAGCCTGAGGGTGCAATGCTGCTATTTGCACCTTACACGTAGCAGCCAGTTAATCCGACTCCCTGGTCTTCGTGCATTGACTTTGTTCTGTTTTCTACCCCATGCCTTACTCGCACTGGTACATGTGCACGTATTTTCTGTACCTTGATTTGTAATGGTGAAAAGAAGAAGAAGAAGTCTATGGCGGGAAGGAGCTTTCTTAGCTTTGTATATCTATGTCATTGTTCATTGTTTTCACCCTGAGGATGGGCTGTGCCCGAAAATTTGGTGAATTCATTATTTATTTTGAATTGACGTTGCAGCGAAGAGACCGTACTTGGAAAGTTCGAGTTGAGGTTCCCTGTTGTGTAATTATTTGTGATACCGGTACACTGTATTAAACTACAAAATTTTAAAATTATGAGTCCTCTCAAGAAGAGTCCATAAACTGTTTATATTATGCACTCTCGATCCTATCGATATATCCGGAACCGGTGAGTCGTCAAAATGACGACTCCCTAGGTTGTAGCTGTCCGGAACGTTCGAATGTGCAGGACCGGACCATGTACCAGGCAGGGACGGGAGCATTATGCATAGCGAGCACCACATGGCTCCCTGGCATGACTGTTTTGTTTGTAAAATTGTAGCGTGTGTGTACTCTAGTACGTGGTCATGTACTGATCTACTCAGGAGTAGACAGTCTACAATCATTGTCGTTTGTAGAATCTACACTCGTACTACAGTACTACCAAGAGTAGATATCTACTCTTGGTACTGTACTACTAGTACTACTAATCTACACTGTACTGTAACTTTGCTCTACTCACGGTAGAGCCAGTGCGACCTTTCCGGCTTTCGTGAAGATCTACGACACTGACTTTGTACCAGGGAGTAGGTATTGTACTACTCCCTGCTTTGTACTGTCTGTCTGTACGCTATCAATAAGTATCAATATCACTGTGCATCGAAGATTCAAGAAGGGAACTTTCTATTTCTCCCTCACTGAGGAAGGCGAATTTGTATGAAGGATATGCTTGTTTTCATTGTGTCCCAGACCTCTGCGTTCTGTGACAGTCACTATGACTTCTTACGACGAGGATATTCTCGACAATCCGTTTTATCAAGCTCTGTCTGGAAAGTTTTCTGAGCTGTATGACGTTGCTACTAATAATGGCTGGATGGTGAGTGAGAAAACAATAGTAATATTTTCAAGTTTAGCACATGCGGCTTCATCCTAATCCTGTGGATTTTCTGCTTCAAATTTAGGTGTGTATCCCACGCCTAGGTTCGGCGGCACGTCTGTCCTATTCGCGAAAGGACTTTGAGAATCATTTGCTAGTGCCTGCAACAGAATGTGATGATGATGGAAAGCGACATTTTGTAACACCCAATGCAAAGGTGAATTTCAATTATTTCAATTTAAAAATATAACGCCTCTACAACTAAGTACACTGTACAAGGTCTTCGCAAATTGCACCAGTTGAATTATATCCAGCAGCTAACTTCCTGTAGCCCTTCAGCACTTACGTTCAAACTACAACGGTTATTGTTTTTATGTGCCCTATTGACCAATTGCTTGAACCAGGATTTTTTGTTTTGAACCAGGATCATCACATGAGCACAATGGTGTTATTGGTTCAGCAGAGCCGTAGCACTGCGATTTCAGGTGGTCCGGCCAAATAGTAGCGACTTCAGTCCAAAATTCTAAAATCGCAATTAGGGCCAACAAATTACAGGACTGGAAAGAGAAACCTCTGCAGAACACATACAGAAAATTTCATGGGTATATCTTGTCCCAAACCGGAGATATCAGGCTTCAAAGTTGGTATGCAATCGTCGGAGGCCATGTATGCAATTGAATGCAGAGCAATGGCACAAAAGTGGGTTTCCCGGACCTCATGAATTTCATGCATACACAGTGAATGTATGCGCGATATGCGGGTTTTTGGTGTTCTTGGAGGGTGACGGAGAAACCGCCGTACATGTAGATGTTGGACGGGACGTGCTCTGCTTCGATGGATTGAAATAATCACCTCCTCACTGCTCAAGCACCTCCAGAATCTTGACGTGAAGAACATAATCATAACTAGTGGATTTACAAGCCAAAGGTCTGCTTGCTCCGTCACGCAGAGCCCGTCAAATAGTGCACTCCATAGCCGACTTCAGCCGCTGCGCACAAATTCTTCAAACTGCAAAAAACGGCTACGGAAGAGAACCTTACCATGAACCCATCTAAACTAATTCGAGGGCTCTGAACACGATGGTGACTCGGTCATTGACGGGCAAGGTACCTGAGATGCCGAAAGTGCTTTGAAAACTAAAAATACGGAGCGATATATCCAAAAATCGATGACTTATGACATGCGACACACCGTTGGAAAGCTATTCATGTGTGCTTGCCCATCTTGTAAAAATCGAAGGCGCTAGGTTCATGAATAACGCGTAGGCAGGCATAGAACGTCGAGAGAAAAATTGTTTCGTGCACGCCATGCTTACACCATACATTCGTGCGACGAAGGATTTCTGCCTTTCGGTCACGTGATTGAAGTCGCTACAAATAGGATTCTTGACCGGAAATGAACTTTTATTGACAAAAATCCCATTTTGTACGAATTATGGGGTGGGTCAACATTTTTGGTTGGTTTATGGCCGGACCAACTGGACCATGTACTGCGACCCTGTTCAGAGAGCTAGATCAACGCAGTGTACATTATTTTATGCATCATTCTTTTCAGCCATAGTGACAGGTTAATTGTGGATATCTGTTGTGCAACAAATGCCAACAATCTCAGCTTTTGATACATTACTGCACGAGTCGAGAGGAAATATCCCCTTTTGGACTGGGGTGAGACTGACCCCTGTATTGCACCCGTATTCATGATAGGACATTTTCATCTCAACTCCTGCACACCATACACGCTCCATTTGCACATTACAGCCACTAGCGGTGTGTTGCTGTTTTTTTTTGGGGGGGGGGGGGGGGGGGGACATCGCATTCGAGAGCAAATGCCTTTCCAAACTTCCTATTTGGATATTGTTCTTGAACTTCAGGCAATTATTGTTCTTGTAGCTCTTCTCATTTTATGTCCTTGACTTCACTGGTGTGCTGTGTGCAGAAAGTTACAATTGAAGGCGACATTATCACTACTGACGAGGGGTATGAAGCAAACCGATCAGTAAGACATACCTACAGTGCATTTCAAACCTATAGACGCGTAGGGTTTTTGAAATATTTCAAATTTGGCTGGAACTTTTTGAGAATAGTTTTCGGAATATTTGCTCAGGATCGCTCCACAATTACTCTCATATAGTTTCTAAAGGATTGGATAACAGACGCCCAATTTGGAAAAATTTATGCACAAAGTGATCACATATTTTATGTGGTATAGATGCTGGCATAACGGTTTTTGCCTAGGTACGCGTCTATAGTTTTGAAATGGACTGTACATCCTGGCTAGGGTTCATTTGGAAGTAGCCAGTTTCGTTTGCTGTTGTTGCGCATAACTAACGAACCAATTTTGAAGAGTAATGGTGGGAAAGGCCTCATCAGAATTTCCAGTGGCTTCTGTGCTTCGTGTGCATAGCATACACATCTATATATGTCAGGCTGAACTGTACAAATGATATTCCATCTTTCTTTCCATTGTACATTTGGTGTGTTCTCCTAACTGCGGTCCTTGGTGGAAAGCTTATACACTGCCCACAGTTGTATTGGGTTAAACACTTGTCAGTAGTTACTAGCATCTCCGTTTTCATCTGCCGTTCGTCTGCTCTAGGTGCGTATTCTCTTTCAGGAAACAAACTATAGCAGTCGTGATGCCAAGTACATAGTGCTGTGTGTTGACCAGCCTCTGGAGGGAGGTGAGTCACTGTAGTATACACTGTTTGTACAGCCTATTCTTAGTACACATTTCTCAAAATGCGAAGACTCCACTGTAGCCATCCACTATATCCATACATCTTCAAAACACTCTCCAAACGGTCTCTGGGCTACACCAATCACTAAAAGAAAAAGAGATATTAAAATTATTCGAATTTTCGGGTCATTCCTGAAGATGGGCCTTGTCCGAAATTCGAATAATTTTGATATCTCTTTTTCTTTTAGTGATTGGTGTAGCCCAGAGACCGTTTGGAGAGTGTTGTGAAGATGTATGGATATTCTTAGTACAAGTGCATGTATTCTTAGTACTATTTTTTACAAGTATAGGCAAGCTGTTTCGGTGTCATATGTCACATTCCAAGTTGTTGTTGGTAGTGTTGTTTCGCTATTGCTGCTGCTGCTGCTGCTGCTCGGGCGGCTGCTTGTGCCATAACAGCTGCTGTTGTTTGCAGTCTTGCTGTTGCTATTGCCGTTGCTGCCTGTTAGTCATAGTCATAGATCTTGCTTGGAGGTGGACATGTCTTCAATGTACCAGTATGTACTTCGAAGTACAATTTGCCAAATTGCACGTTTGTTTCTTCTGCTTTTTTGTTGTTTTGTTTTTTGCTGCTGCTGCTGCTGCTGCTGGTGTTGTTGTTGTAGAGTTATGTGAGGAAATGAAAGTTGCCACCTTGCTGTCTTCTGAAGATTGTAGCAAGTTTTTGTTTGCAGATTCGGGTAAGTTTTGTCTCTGTTGTTGTGTGCGTGTTGCGAAAACCGCCCCGATATTCTAGTGAATTGTTTGAACAGTTGTGCTTCATGTTGCGCACATACTACATAGCACTGGAGTGGTCCTTTAGTAGGGTGTCCTAACAATACTCTTTACATATACGCAGTAAGGGCCTTTCCTTCAAGGAGACCACTCTGGTAAATCGACCAACTTGTCTCATAATACCACTTCCTCCAAGTCCAAAGCCAAAACATGTTGTTTTCAGTCAAATAACCCTAGATAAGGGGTACGGGTGTGGTGTGGTGTGGTGTGTGTGTGTGTGTGTGTGTGTGTGTGTGTGTGTGTGTGTGTGTGTGTGTGTGTGTGTGTGTGTGTGTGTGTGTGTGGTGGGGGTGTGTGTTGGGGGGGGCTCTGAGCGGTAGCATTATACAGGTTCATGTATCACTGTACTGGTGGTGAGGCCCCATGCAGCGGTGTACATTGCCGAGGTGACCCTAAAACCCCAGCGATCATTGCAATGGTGTTCATGTTCATTGTGCACCGGTGCCTGAAGCCGCTGCATTGGCGTGAAAGTGTTTACTTGAATTTTGACTTTCCACTGTTTCTGTCAGCTTTACTGTACTACAGCATGCATTGCTGCTTTGTCGTCTGATTTATCAGACATTGTCCGAAAATCCACCTGCTGTCCTAAAACCGATCAAAAAAAAGGGGGTCTGCGTGTGTGGATATGACAGCATAGTCAATTCTTTCCATAGGCTTACGAAACAGGAACCTTCCTGATTTCTACAGAGTACATACTGTACAAATCCGTTGATCCCCGAGCACACAAATATATACTCACCACTGGGTGTCTGGTAAAAGTATCTGGTTTCAGGTGAAAGTATGTAGGGGCACTGCTTGTGTGCATTATATTCTGGTTACATTGAACTGATGTGTTGGCGTGTGTTGGTGTGAAGACCGATGCCATCTTTTATTGAGTGCTGTGTGTATGCGTTGGCTTCTTGTGGAATAGTTCGCACGCAGAAGCAGGTGGATAAGCTACTGAAGCTGGTTTCGACATCACTGAACATCCTCGATGGCGATGCACTGCGAAATACTGTGGTGAGTTGAGTCATGTGCCTGCAATCTACATCTGTATGTCTGTACGCACATGGGTGGGTGTACATGTGCACTGGGTAGTCATAACATCTAGGGAGACAGCATGAGACTATAGCAGGATGAGCGGAAGTAGTTTTCGTTTTGTCCGATCCAGCCATGGCCTGCTGTACTTTGTGCTTAGTATGACGGGTAAGCATGATCTTTCTCATCAGCAAGCACGTGTCGGTGGTCAAGTTGTTGGTCCGGCTATAGCATGACCAACAGGACCGGTTCTGCTGGGCCTGCGTAAAAGTTTGATAAAACGATGTTTGTTTCCAACTTTCCACCTCTGACTTTGAAGTTGTATGTGATCTGTGGTCAATGCAACACAAGACCGTGATTGCGAGCATGGCCTATGGCCTGTCATGTTCCTATCTCACGCAAACCATGAACTTGTTTGTGGAACACATTTCAAAGCTGGAACTACTGTTATCCTCCTTTGTGTTTAGGATGCCGTTCGAGCCACAATTACAAGGACAATGCAGACTGTGCTGAAGGACGGCAGTGTGGTGAGTATGGTATTATATTATTACATGCAGCACATTGTTGTAGGACCCGGTTCTCCTGACAGCTACATACTGCCGTGTAGTGGTATTAGGGAGGTTCAGTCCCACGTAATCCGTGTGTACTTTACGTGTGTGTACCACGTGATACTCAGTGACCCATGTACAGACGTTTCTGATTCACGACATACCGTGTATGGAGGCTCACCCACGTTCCGCCAAAACGTGGGTGAAAATCAGAATGGAGCGCATTGTGCAAGCTGTGAGGGTGCCCAGCTGAAGAAGTTTCCGAAGCACGAAATCAAAATATTCGATGAGCTTCGAAGCTTCGTCTTTGACCAAGTTTGGGCCTTTCGCTTCATGCTTTTGTTTGTTCCGTGCGACTAAAGACAACATTGCGAACGTGGGTCCATTCCATGAACTTTACGTGTATCACCCACGTTCCCATATCCGTTACGTGGGACTAAACCTCCCTACTGTTTGCTTACGTGATACTGGTAGACTTGTGCTTTGTGGAAAGATTATTAATGACCCTTCGAGCACTGACTGCAGGCCATACTAGCACTGATTACTATGACAATTGTTGCCGTGTCCTATTATATGACCGCCCTCGTTGTGTATCCCATTGTTTTGAGAAAACCGTTGATGTTTGCAAAGGAGGATATAAGCAGCGACGGGCAATGCCAAGGCTCATGATCTACAGACTGTATGCGCACATGCCTTCCTTACTCTGTGCTTGTGTGCATGTGTGTGTACATGTGTGCGTGCGTGTGTGCGTGTGTACGTGCGTATGTGTGTGTGTGTGTGTGTGTGTGTGTGTCCGTGGCGGGCCACTTCAACCAGGCGTGTGGTATAGACCAGGCTAAAATTATTGGCGGTCAATTCATCAGCCATGCAAGCTGTTGAATGGTGTAATCCCAGCACAAGTTGCTCTGTCTAACATAGCTTGTTCGCTAGCATCGCTTCAGGGATGGGCAGGATTGTGAGTGAGTGTATGCGTGGGTGTGTATGTGTCTGTCTGCATGTCTGTCTGTCTGTTTGTCTGTCTGTCTGCCTGCCTGCCTGTAGGTGAGTGCTGTTAATACTCATTTATTTCATGTTCTTGTCTATTTTTGTTAGCGCAAGCTGTCTCGCCAGAATCAAGCATACATGGCCAATATCAAATTGGCAGTAGAGGTAAATTTTGACTTACACCCACACACATGTACCTGGCAGGGTTTGGTTGAACTGTTGCTAGTAGGGGCAGTGGCCCTCAAACCCTAGAACCCTAATGATGGGGCATGCCCGAAATTTGGTGTAATAAGAAGAGGAGTTTATTCACAGCCAAGAAACCATTGAGTGTGTGTTAGGAATGAGTGATCAGTTTATGGCTTTTGTTGTGTTGTAACTTGTATGTCATATTCTGCCCCGCACTAGTACCTGCATCATCTTTCAGGTCACGTTGCAATACATTTGAGTGCTTGTTTTTACTGTGTCTGGCATGCTCGTGGTCTGAACATCTTTCTTTAGACTTATGTCATGGAGACTCTCCACAACAAAATCTTCCCTGCTAGCTGTGCTCTCGCTGCCAAGGACGTAAGTGACTGACCTTATCAAGGTGTTGTCCTGTTGTTGCATGCACTGCACATACTGCTCACAATCAGATGGGATCATTCTGGTTATACTTTGCGAACACGTGTTCCTTCAGTGCTGTCTGACCTGGATCTCTGTGAAATGGAAGTACATGTAATGGCAAACGCAAGGACCAACCTGGTGAAGGGATATCCATCGCCAGAATAGTCCTTGCTTGGATTGGAAAGGAAGCTTCTTTCTTGATTGTCCTCATCCTTTTCTGACCTATGACCTGTAGTGCATGTTAACTAAACTGAAAACTTGCAGTTTCTTAGGGATGCTCAGGCATCTTTTCCGTAGTCCATGTCAATCAGTTCTTTCTGCCTGCTGGTTCCTTGGGTGTTCTACGATATGCTCCTGGCAATAGCTCTTCTGCGAGCAACTTCGACAAGAAAACTCTTGACAACGTTCATCCTGGTGTCCCCATGGAAGTCAAGATAGGTGTTCCTCCTCCACCTCCGTATTCGCTCATATTGTACCTAATATTATACTCATAATTATTACGATGACGTGTGTGTGTGTGTGTCTGTGTGTGTATGTGTTATTACGATGACGTGTGTGTGTATGTGTCTGTGTGGGTATGTGTGTTCAGGATGCAGCTCTAAATAAGAAAACACGCAATCTACAGGAGACGAGTGCAACAGATTTCGGCTTGGAATCCAGCCAGTGGTGAGTTCTATCTCGTCGTACTACAACATACATGCACGAGCTGTGCACATGACAACTCCTTCTTGCTCAGTGCCCTGCGTTGTCCTTCTTGCTCTGTGCCCTGCGTTGTCCTTCTTGCTCAGTGCTCTGTACAGTATTCAGCTCTTGATTAGGGTTTGAACACTGTTTTGTTTCTGCTGCTGTTGCCTGTTTTGTTTGCCGTGGTTGCAGTGCAGGTATCCCCAAGGCACGCCGAGAGTTGTCCTCATTGAATAAGGTATATTCATACTAGTGTGCTTCTTTGTGTGGAGCCCAGTTGGTGTTCTTGCTTGCATACAAGCAGTTGCATGGTATGCCGTACTGGTCCGAAACTGCGTGCAGGCTTGTTTGTTGGGTTGCTTGCGGCGTGTTAGTTGAATTTCCACCAGCTCTTTTTTTCGGGGGGGGGGGGGTCTCTCCTCGGAGAATTGGCACTTTTCAGGGCAACCTTCTTTTGCCAAGCATGAAGTAAGTATGTCACATTCTATTCTGTAGCTGACTTCTGCTGTTTCTGGTGTTGCATCGTTGCTTGTGTGGATGCTTTCTGGTGGCGTAGTATTCAACTCCTCTCGACAAAGCGTTCTGCTTGCGTCGAGTTATCCTCGCTCTGTCATCTCCTACTGCTGGTCAGGAAGGTGAGCGTTATGCGATATTTTTTTGCTCTTACAGGCGATTCATTTCATGAAGTACCATTTCTACGGAATGAAGGAGTTGATGCACTGTGCAACACGTTGTACTTTGTGTGTGCATGTATTGAAGGCTATTTGAATTTTGATCACTTCAGCTGTATGTTATAGGTGTTCACATTAAACCTTTGACTTATTTATAATAGCAGTAGGACAATGTAGATAGTTGGGTAGTTTACACTCAACACGACTGATCACACACAGCATGGGGCTGTGTTCCCAAAAACAAGCAAAACAATGGACAAAACAAATTGAATGCAAACAGATAATTGGGTGGTGGCCAACCTCCAATCACATTTCAGCAGAGAGCTCTGTTTGAGATAATACATGTAGTAACATGGCATTATTCTGTGTCTTCACAGCATTGTCCACGAGGGCTGTGGGTTTCAAATTACTCATGCATTATAATATGGTGTTGCAGCGTGATCTTCATCAGGACTCGATCATTTCATCCTTCCCCTTCCCCCTCCCCTCCCCCTGTTTTCTTTGTAGGTCGTCATTGGGTTTTTTCGATACTGTTTTTTTAAAACTTTTTGGTAGAACTGTGGAGCACACATGTTACTCAATGGACATGCAATTCATTCCAATCATGCTGTTGTCTGGTTTTGCTTTTGTTAGGAGTGACGGCCGATGACCTACTTCCACTTCTCATTCTTTTACTCATCCGTTCTGATATTGCGAACTGGTGAGTGCCAGAGTCTATGTCTTGTCTCTTGTCTTTGTCACAGCCCATTATGTAGCACAACTTGATTTAGCGCACAGGTCATCACAATTCTGTGAGACGTACAGTGCATGTGTGTTCTTTCATTGGCTTGCACCCTGTGTGCTTGAGCCTAAAGTGGCGGAAGTGTTGGTTGCGTGCCTTGAACACGATTAGGTAGTTTCTCTGCATACCGTCATCATGCTTGGCATTCAAGATGGCATATCAAACAATGGATAATGCAAAGCTCTGGTAGAGTTCAAGGGCTGGGTTGAAATGGATGGGCATATATGTGGAAATTCAAGCAGTCCTTGTCTTTGTGTTGCGTTCTTTGCCTGTGTGAGTGTGTATTTGCTGCTTGTGCTTTGCTGTACAGGAAGGGAAACATGTTGTACATCACACATTTTATGTCCTCTGCTGGCAGTGGAGAATTTGTGTAAGTACCATAGTGACGCGCGTATATGAGCATGTGCCTATACCCGGGCATAAGCGCACCCTCACAAATAAGCGCATGGGCTTATAAGTGAACCTAAATGCAGTACATCCCGTGACAAACAGACACCACAAAAACACCATATTCACATAGTTCAATGTGCATTGCGGTATTGCACTATGTGCATAATTATGCATGGTACCGGTACACTAGCAACTCAAGCGCATGCGCCCATGTGTGAGACAAAACGACCCGCAAAAATAGCAAATAATGCAAAAAACTCACTCATAAGCGCATGGGCCTTTATGTGCGTCATTACGGTAGTAGAATGGAACATTTGGTTAAAGTACATTTATATGTACTGTGGACTACGTACATAGTGTTAGTACTTATGTGATCTTAAAGTTCGTAATATCAAGAGTACATAACCCCCAAGAGTGTGCAACTCCAGCTATGGGGTCTGCGACGGCAGAACTTCACATCACGTGCCGAACCCGTACACATTGTTTGCACCTTGTGCATGATAGATGCAGGGTTGTACGCAACCCTGCTTTGGGTTCAACTCTCATGTGGTCACTGTGCACTGTTTGCCAGCGTAACCTTTTGAACTATGTCGCGTGATGTGAAGTTCTGCCGTCGCAGCACTGTATAGAGGCGGTGCAGGCAGTTGCACACTCTTGGGGGTTATGTACTCTTGGTAATATCCACTGCTCCCCAGTCGAATTGTCCGGGGTCATGTGTCCCCTACTGGCAAGTTCCCAATCCATCTATGTCCAGATCGTCCAGATCCGCTGCTACGACCCTTTGTATGTATGTGAGTGTCCCCTCTTCTGCTGCTGGTCTGTATGTATGTATGTGTGTGTGCGTGCGTGTGTTGTTTGAATTTGAATTCTTTATTCTCATGATGGCACCATCGCCAGTAAATGATTTGTTGTTGTTGTTGTTGTTGTTGTTGTTGTTGTTGTTGTTATTGTTGTTGTTGTTGTGCATAGATTTGTATTGTCATCGTTTGAAGCGGCCGTGGAGCATGTCATGAATGATCAAGTCAACAGTGACCAGCTGGTTAGTGCTGTTGTGTATCTCTGCCGTACATGCACTGCCGAGTATGTATGTATGTCTGTCTACCTGCCTGCCTGCCCATCTGTCTGTATCTTTCTCTGTGTGTAGGTGGGTGAGAAAAAAGAGACATACAGGTGGACACAGGCCTAGATGCTGTGTTTCAGAAAGTCGTATTAATCTATTCCTTGGTTGTGCACACATGAGTCACTTTCTTGGGTGTTTCTGTGTGCAATACCTGCAGGCAAAGTCGGCGCCCAATTCTAATTTTCTTCGTCAGCATTCCGACTCCAGTGCTGGACAGACGGCTATTGATGTATTTTTCGAGGTAGGACCATGTGTATTGCACCCACCAATCTGCTTTAGTTGTGTTTCCGTAGATCCAGTAGACACCCTGCCATATCACAGCTGGATCTGTAAGGCTGTGTTTACATGAGAAATTTCAACCCGGGTCGAGTTCAGCCCGGGTTGAAAGTCTGTACGATAGACAAAAGAGGTGAGCGTTTACATGAAGACAGTTGACCCGGGTCAAATACTGATATGCCGCCAAAAGTCCACTTCTTCAGTCCTGCATGGTCACGTGAATCCGTTCGCGCGAAATTTGCATGTGCAGTGCTGTTCAAACCTGGCGCGAGATACGCACAGAAGTACGTTTGTACGATTTTCTTGACCCGGGTTGAAATCAACCCGGGGCGAAATTTCAACCCGGGTCAAACGCAATGCGTCATGTAAACGCGCCATTCATTTTGTGCACATGGCGGGTTGAAATCTGACCCGGGTTGAAACGTCTCATGTAAACACAGCCTAGGTTGGTATTGATACTCCACTGCAACACCGCGCCAAGCCACACACGTGCTTGTATCCAATCAGTGGCTATGCTGTGTACACTCACCGCTTGTGAGCAAAGACAGTGTAGGGTGTATGTTGTGACCTCTTGACATACAGTCAACTCCACAGAGCCATCTCTTTAGAGTGCAGTGGTCAATGATCATGTTGCTTTGTTCACAGCCCTGCTGATGTAACGTTTACCTTTTTTCCGTTTTTGTTTTGTGTTGCCACTGTTGTGCGCCGTAGTACGTACGTCAAAACGATCTAGAGACAGTGACACGACGCCTGACTGCCAAGTTGGAAGTCAGCAACACCATATTGGAACAGATGTGTCACCCGCTGTGCTCATGTGCCGACTGTGACAAGCTACTGTCAGGGTAAGGTTGCTGCCGCCGCTGCTGTTGTTTGTGTTCCTCTGTGTGTGACCCCTGATCACTGTGCGGAGTTTTGTACTTGCCATCATGAGTGCTAAGGAAATTGGTCTCTTCAACATGTGGGCTTGTGCTGTTCCTGCCATTGAAATTGAGTTTACTAGCTCACGCCACTGTCCAGAATACATGGTATCCCCGATGAACAGTGCAAGCTCAAAAGGCGAGCCAACCGTGTTCCTAGCTAACTACATATCTCCATGCTCACACAAGCTCTTTCTCATGTCATGATTTGCGTACGGTTCAACAACATGTTTGTGTGATGGTGCTTTATGCTTGCAGTGTGAGTGGCACTCCAGCAGCCGGTGATCCTATGGAAGTGGCAGCCAACTCTCGTGATGACCTAGGACGCACCGCCCTGCACGTTGCAGCTGAGAATGGTTAGTTGAGCTGCACTGTATGCAGTATAGCTGTGTCAGAAACTGTAGACCATCACTTCATGCCGTCTGTTGTGTTCCCAAAGTTCTACCAAGGAATGTGAAGAGAACAGTGGTATCGATTAGCTCTCCAGTGATACTATGAGAAAGGGGGCGAATGTTCTCACACTTGCTGACAATGTTGTTGCTGTTGCTGTTGCTGTTGGTGGCCTTGTGTACTGGCTGGACCCTGCAGGTCATGGACAGATGGTAGAGCTTCTGCTAGATTGTGGAGCCGTTGCCAGCAGTACTGACTACCACTCCAGTACAGCACTGCACTTGGCATGTCGACGTGGACATCTGTCAGTGGTGGTAGGTTGCTAATTGCCTGGGCCCTGTTAAGCCACATGATTTTCAACAGTGGGAAGCATCTACGCTGCTCCATTTTAGCTTGAGTGTACAAGCAAGTGTGCTTGCATGCATATGTGTGTGTGCGTGCATGCATATGTGTGTGTGCGTGCACACACGTGTGCTTTTGATTTCCCATTTTTCTTCTCTTTTTTCTACATTTCTCAACATTCACCACACCACATACTCTGGCATGTGCTGGCTGTTGTTAACCATCCAGGAGAATGAAATACAAGATAGGAGAATGAGAAAGAGAAGAAAATCAAAAGAATCTTAAAAAGTATGGACTCACTGATCAGAAAAGCCCCTTCACACAGCTGTGTTGTGGAAGAGCGGGCTTAAATAAGTGGCAGTCAACTCATCAGCCGTGCAAGCTGTGAATGGTGTTATCCCATGTCCAACTACCGTATTTCCCCGTAAGTAAGTTCTCCCCAATGACTTAGTACCCCCCTATAAAAATACTTCGAAGTACACTTTCCACTGCCGAGGTTATCACCCCGAAAGACAGTTCCCCCCGAAAGATAGTAAGTTCGTACCCGTCCTACATGTACAGACACCGTACAGTACATACATCATATGCACGGACACTAGAGTTGCGCAGGCTTCTCACTGCGTGTCATTTACCCCCGATAAAAAAGTACTCCCCGAAAGATAGTACCACCCCCGAACGTTAGTACTCATGTGGCTGCTAAGTTCGAAAGTTAGTACGTACTAACTTACGGGGAAATACGGTAACGTGTGTTGTTCACTATCAGCACTTCCGCGATGAGCATGTGCAAGTGTAAGTGTGGTTGTGTGTGTCAAATCCTATCCCTAAGCAACCAGGGGTGCGTTGGACTGCTTGTTGCTAGCACAAGTTTGAGCTGATCGGCCAGGTACTATTGCTGAACCTCAGTCATGTACCTATCCATCTCTGTCTGTCTCTGTCTGTCTCTCTCTCTCTCTCTCTCTCTCTCTCTCTCTCTCTCTCTCTCTCTCTCTCTCTCTCTCTCTCTCTCTCTCTCTCTCTCTGTCTATGTCTCTCTCTCTCTCTCTCTCTCTCTCTCTCTCTCTCTCTCTCTCTCTCTCTCTCTCTCTCTCTCTCTCTCTTTTTCTTTCTCAGAGTGTGTTGCTAGGCCGACTTGATGACATCAATGCCCAGGACAATGACGGGAACACCCTGCTTCATCTTGCTTCAGCAAATGGCCACGAGGAGGTTAGATCAATGATCAGCATATGTAAACTGACGCCAATCCTGTTAGTAACTTGCTATTGTCCAAAGCAGCGCGAATGAGTTAATAATCTTGGTGGTCGAGTTAAGAAAAGGGTTGAGTGAAAGTTTGCAGTTTGACATGCGCAAAACTTGAAAGTCGTCACCTCAGGCGCGAATCGCCTTTTGTTTGGGTGTGTGTGTGTGTGTGCGTGTGTGTGTGTGTGTGTGTGTGTGTGTGTGTGTGTGTGCGTGTGTGTGTGTGTGTGCGTGTGTTTCCTTCTTCATCAAAGGTGGCTCGTGCTCTATTTACATTGAGAGTCGATGTTGACTGCAACGTCTCTAATGAGCGTGGAGATACACCACTGCATCTTGCTGCACGGTGGGGGTATGGTAAGTGACAAAGTGCCCAACAGTTATAAGTTTATATTTATATGTAATCTGTGTGTGTGGGGGGTGCAATGCTGCTGTGTGGTGTAGGCTCACCAATGCGATTGTCACATGAGGATACAGTGACACATACATACAGTCATACACGCGTGCACATGCACACACACACCTGTCCTGTCTTGTAGAGTCACTACCACTAGGGTCACATGGGCCCCGGAGGGGCAGCAGAGAGAGAGAGAAGGAGCTTGCCACCTGATGGCGCTCCAGATGCGAGACTAGTCGGAACCAGTGAGAGCAGATACAAATATGCGGAAACTTGTCCCGTTCTCTAGCCTTTGGGTGGTGGCAGTGCACATACACACACACACACACACACACACACACACACACACACACACACACACACACACACACACACACACACACACACACACACACACACACACACACACACACACACACACACACACACACACACACACACACACACACACACACACACACACACACACACACACACACACACACACACACCTTGGACCTTGGACCTTGGACGCCCATCGCGTAGCGATGATGGCTCAGACGCGGCAGTGGGGGGCGTGCCTCCTCAGGTCCCCAATGCGGCCAAAGGGACGGCCACATGCGCAACGGAACTCTTTCGGTCCGGGTGGAGGAGGCTGCTGACGACACAACCGCTTCCAGGTTGGGCGATCCTGGGCTTGATGGAACCATTCTCCCTCTCCGATCTGTGCCGCAGCTAGATCAGTGACAACAACGTCACGCCATCGCTTCTTCGGACCGTGGCGGGGGCGAGTGGCATATAACTCGCCAAATACCATCTGCTGCGGAGTGCGGCGTTCCTCCATACGGGCAATGTGCCCCAGCCAGCGCAGACGATGCTGTCGGAGCAAATCGGAGATGTCAAGAGACATGCCAAATCGCCTGCCCAATTCTGCCGATGTGAGCCTGTCCTCCCACTGCTGGATCCGCGATACACCGAGGATAGACCGAATACAGGAGCGATGGAAGACGGTCAGCCGATGGACGTGGGTAGCCTTCACAGCCCATGTCTCTGCACCGTAGAACAGAGTGCTCAGGACAAAAGCGCGATATACCGTGCACTTAATGTCGATGGATAAACCCCGGCACCGGAAAATCGGGGTCAGGAGGCAACCAAACACACGAGATGCCTTGGCCAAGCGGGAGGTGATCTCCACGTCCAGTGACCCATCGCAACTCACCACACTACCGAGGTAAGTAAAGCCGGAGACCATCTCCACAACTCCACCATCATCGAGGACGACATCAGGTTGTAGGTCCCCCGGGCCGACTGCTATGGCCTTTGTCTTGGCGATGCTGACAGTGAGACCCCACTGAGAGGCACAGGCGATGAACTCGTTTGCCAGGGTCTCCAGATGTTCTCTTGTCTGACTTGATGTGGTGTATACAGCGGCATCATCAGCGAACTGGGACTCGGTAACTTGGTACGTGTTCAGTCGCGCCTTGGTTGTTCGATCCCCAACAAGCTTCCGGCCAGGGCGTGAGCGCAGGGACACGCCGGGAACAGAAGAGCGGGAACGCCAAGACGACATTACGGCAGCAAAATACAGATTGAATAGGGTGGGGGCAAGAGTACAGCCTTGGCGAAGACCATTGTTAACATATATGTCCTCCGTCAAGCGACCAGATATACGAACCCGAGCCCTCATGCCGACATGTAGGGACCGAATCAAGCTGAGAAGGGTAGGTGGAATACCGAGCTTCCCGAGGACAAGCCACAACGCCTCACGAGGTATGCTGTCATAAGCCTTCTTCAGGTCGACAAATATGACATACAGTGGCGTATCATGTTCGATGGCCTTCTCGATTAGCTGGCGCGCCACAAACACCATGTCGACGCACCCACGTCCCTTCCTAAAACCGCACTGTGACTCAGGCAGCACATCCTCGGACAGTTCCTGAAGGCGATCCTGGATAACCCGTGCAAACAGCTTACCGACTACATCCAACAGGCTGATGCCTCGCCAATTGTCACATGACCGTAGGTCGCCTTTCTTCGGTATGGGTACAATCTCAGCGTCGCGCCACTCAGAAACAACGGAGCCACCTGCCCAAATCTGGGAAATCAGAGAATGAATACGCCGGTGGAGAGCAAGACCGCCACCCAGCACCAATTCCGGCACAATACCTGACGAGCCACCAGCCGTGCCCCTACTCATCCTCCGCATCGCAGCCATCACCTCCTCAAATGTCGGGGCCATGTCAAGTTCATGACGCGGCTCAGCAGTAGGCATGTTATCAATGACATGCATACTAAACTGACTAGCAATGTTGAGCACTCTGTCGAAGTGTGCATGCCAACGCGTAACAAGACTTTCCGGGCTGTCAGTAAGGTGTCCGTCTCCATCATAAACCGCCGAGGGTGTGACCGTACGCCTGCCATCATCCACTCGCTGCAATTTTCGGATGCATTTCCACCTCACACAGCCATCCCTTTGAGCACGCTCAGCATCACCGACCACCTCACGGATCCATTGTTCCTTTGCACCACGCACCGCCCTCGCAACCGACCGCTGGGCTGATCTAAATCCGGAACGTGTCGTTTGATTGCCTGCCGACAACATTCGTTCATGGGCACGTCGCTTCGCCTCAATAAGTGGCTCCAATGCTGCCCTATTCTCCAGAAACCAGTCTGGTTGCCGCCGCCGACCATGGCCCAGTGTTCTCTCCGCTACGCTGGTGATGTCATCACGAAGGGAATTCCAGGTCTCTTCAACACTCTGGCCACCACCGACCGCGCCACCACAGGCTGCCTCCATTGACTCTCGGTACTGCAGTAACGTATCAGGCTCACGCAGGCGATGGGTGGCATACGACCTCCGCTTAGGGACAGTGGATCTACGTTGGACGAAGTCCAGGACAAGCTTGGCCCGAACCATGTAGTGGTCAGTCCAGCACAGTGCGCCGCGGACAACACCAACGTCCTTACAGTAGCAGCAATGAGCTGTACGCATGATGACATAATCAATGAGATGCACTTGGCGAGTGGCTGGATGAGTCCATGTTCCACGCTTACTTCGTCCCTTCTTGTACCATGTATTCATTACTGACAATTGATTAGCTGCACAGAATGACAACAGCTCCTCACCAGCCCGATTGCAATTTCCAAGGCCAAATTGGCCCAAGACACAACCCCACATCCGCTCATCCCCTGGCATGCCATCGATACGACTCACAGCGCTGTCTGCATAGTCAGTGCTGGACCCGACGCGCGCGTTCAAATCCCCAAGGAGCACAAGAACATCTCTGGATGGGATACTGTCCACAACTCGTTGCAAGTCATCGAAAAACTTGCGTCTTACGTTCGGTGGGGCTTTACTCGTTGGAGCATAAACATTGACGATAGAGACACAGAAATCTGCGTGTCGCTTACCTCCACCAGGGAGTTTATCACCTCGCTTGGCGACAAGAAGACGAGCAGTGACAATACGCGAACTGACGGCGCTCCACTGCTCCCCTCCGCTCTTCCACATCCCGGTCACGGCGGAATTCATCAAAATTCCAACTCCCTCGTTCCGGCGGCCGGGCTCACTCCCCAAAGGCAAAGGCCTCCCAGAGTGTAACAACGTACCGCTCCCAGCAGGCCAGACGTCGCTTCCAAACCATTTCGTCTCCTGAATACCAGCAACATCCACGCCGAACCTGCCGAGTTCCTCCACAAGAAAATCCAGTTTCCTGTCAACGGCGGTATCCGAGACATTTTTATTTTTACGGCATATTTTGGCATCACCAGCGTCCTCCACCAAGGACCGAACGTTCCATGTCGCAGTGACCAGTGTCCCCTTCGCCTTCGTCTTCCCCGTCCTCCTCGTTGTGACCATAATTCATTCAAATTCAAAAAACTACAAATTCCCCAAACCACTTCGTCTGACTAGTGCAATGCGTACAACAAACCTCCCGACAGCTCGCAAGGCTGTCAGGACGGGCCACAGCAGCCAAGGCCTGGTCTCCACCATACGGCACTTGGCTGCCAAGTGTGGCTAATCCATCATTGAGACAGAGCTCAAAAAGAGCAAACTGCCTCCTCCAACAACAAGTTGCAACACACACACACACACACACACACACACACACACACACACACACACACACACACACACACACACACACACACACACACACACACACACACACACACACACACACACACACACACACACACACACACACACACACACACACACACACACACACACACACACACACACACACACACACACACACACACACACACACACACACACACACACACACACACACACACACACACACACACACACACACACACACACACACACACACACACACACACACACACACACACACACACACACACACACACACACACACACACACACACACACACACACACACACACACACACACACACACACACACACACACACACACACACACACACACACACACACACACACACACACACACACACACACACACACACACACACACACACACACACACACACACACACACACACACACACACACACACACACACACACACACACACACACACACACACACACACACACTGTACTGTACTGTACTGTATTGACAGCTACCCTAACGGGTCACGCCACCCTCCACCCAAGCATGGGTATGATGAGGGGCAGTGGCAACAAAAACAAAAAAACAGCAAGCAGAGAGAGATAGCAGGAGAAAGACAGCGATAGTAGTACATCTGGTGTGCGACGTATAGAAAAGAGAGATGACAAGAGATACGCACAGAAAGGAAACAATAATTATTTGAACTTGTATTATTGCAGTTCCGAAATAATCAACCAGGTGATGGAGTGTGAGCACCCGAAGTCCCACCTGGACTCCACTGGAAGAACATTCCACGCAGGGATATCAGCGATAGGCCAAGCGTTGAAAAACAGCCATGAGGACACATCGTCTAGAAGTCCACCGCGCTCGAACTGAAATTGCAGGATCAAACAATTTCCCACTTGTCGTCAGGCAGCGTAACTCTTCTCCCTGTATCACCATCCATCTCCAGCAACCGTCTCCACTCACAGCTCACGCCTCTGCCACCACTGTACTCCGAGCTTCGCAGTTTGAAACCATTCGGGGGTCAGCTACACCACCGCGAATGGAGAGACGAGGACGACAACGGTCGTGACAGAAAAGACACTGCCCTGGCGACCGCGTCGCGGAACCCTCGCCCCAGCAAATTCAGAAACACGCCAGGGGCACACACACACACACATGCACACACACACGCACGCACGTCTACATGCACTTGCGCAACTGCTATGTTTTCAGGGAGATAATTAGGGCTGGCTTCTTAATCATTTCCCAAGCGGCACAGCAGTTGTCACTGGGTTTGTGTTGGGCTGATTGATATTTTCCGTCCATAACTGAAACCATGCATATCTGAGAATATTGTGATTTGTGAAGCAAGAAAGTGGCTGTATAATGTGGTAAACTAGTGGTGCAATTCCCTCTGCTACATGTATGTAGTGCCTGATACTACCAGTAGCTATTTTTAAAATGGGCTTTTGGAAGTGCTTCTGTAGACGGATATCTCGCTGCATTGCATTGTGCCGTTTGCTGCAGAATCCATTGTGAAGCTACTCGTCCATTACAAGGCTTCTCCTCGCACTACCAATCGGCACAAGGAGGCACCTAGCGACTGCACTCACAATCAGCGGGTGAGACACATTGGCATGGTTGCGGCCTAACATAACTACAGTTTTTTTTCTCGATGAAATCTGACCCAAAGGGGTATATTTGGCGCCCTCAACTTGCATATCCCGTGACGCCCTGGAAGTGGTACGAATCCGGCTGAATGTACATATGTACAAGTACAGTGGCGCAATCGGAACTGGTCCAGGGCATTAGTTTTGCACTTTGGGTTGAATTTCAGTGAGTGCAACTGTAGCTAGTCTAGTTGTTTTGCCTTGCTGAACGCCATGACCAGGTTGGGGCCACGCTGAGCCATCATGCATGAGCTCCTACTAGTGAAGACCAACCCCCAGTGGAAACTCATTCTGGGTAGTGCCTTTCTTGATTTTGGCCGGCGTTGCAACTCCTTCACTGCTGAGCGGAATTTATCTGAACCAAGCAGCTGAGTCAAATCTGTAGTTTATAGACAAGGTTGGCAGACCCGGTCGGGGAAATTGGGTCCTGACCAAAAGTAATCCGTTAATGAGTGCAGGGTGTGAACAGAATGCATGATTCAGATTCTGCTTCTACTTTTTCAAACATGTTATCGCGGAGAACCCCACAGCACTTTGATAGCTTGCCCTACCTGACCAATTATTGAAAAGTCCTTCCGCTGGGTCTGATAGGTACGTAGCACAAAGAAATGAGGCCGGACGCACATGCATATTTGTTTGAGAGCATTGCCCTCGGTTTCTCTTCCTCCGCTGGCAGTTGTGTGTATGTACATGTGAGATGACACGGCCAGCTGGCTTCCCTGCGGTGTAGATTTCCTTTCTTGTGTGTGTGTGTGTGTGTGTCCCTTGTGTTTGAAGGGGACGGTTGCACTTTTTGTAGCTCCGATTTATCTGAGTTTTTTCCGTCGTTCTTCTTACTAGTCTTAGGCCACGGGGTGGCTCTGGGTTCACCAGAGTCGCCCCTGGCGTGTTCCTAAATTTCCTGGGGCGAGGGTTCCGCGGCGCGGTCGCCAGGGCAGTTTCTTTTCTGTCACGACCGTTGTCGTCCTCGCCTCTCCATTCGCGGTGGTGTAGCTGACCCCCGAATGGTTCCAAACTGCGAAGCTCAGAGAGTACTGTCAGGAAGGCGGAGGAGAGGAAGGCTGCGAACATTGGCCTTTGGATCTTGGAACGTCCGCACTCTGGTCAACAATGACGGACCGGTCGAGACGGCAAAGAGACGAGTGAATTTTGAAAATTTGAATTTTGTGCCCGTCGTGGAGGACAGAAAGATCGACTTGGTTATCCGTGAGCTGTCCAGGTTTGACGTGGAAGTGGCTGGCCTGCAGGAAACCAAATGGTTTGGGAGAGACTCTTTCAACATCGGCGATTCGATTGTACTCGCCTCTGGTCGCCCCGTACCTGACGAAAATTTTCGTCGTGGCGAGGGTGTTGCGCTGGTTCTGCGTCGGAGGGCCAAGCAGGCATTTGAACGTGCAGGCTGCCAGTGGAGGCCCGTCTCGTCGCGCATCGTGACGGCCAGGTTGAGATTTGAGCACGGGTGGATGTCAGTGATTTCATGTTACGCTCCTACGTTTCGATCCCCCCATGCTGACAAGGAAGAGTTCTTTGCTCAGTTCCAGTCTGCTCTCAGCGATGTCAACTCTGCTGATGACGTCATCGTCCTGGGGGATTTCAACGCTCGTGTTGGTTTTGGCCCACAGCAACTAGAGATGTGGCAGGGAGTGCATGGATCACATGGTGTTGGTGATGTGAACGATGCTGGTCATCGACTACTCACATTCTTGGCGTGTCAACAGCTCACAGTATGTAACACACTGTTTCCCAAGAAACGCATTCACATGTACACCTGGCAACACCCTGGATCACAAAAGTGGCATTGTATAGATTATGTGTTCGTACGCCAACAACACCGTAAACGTTGCATGGACTGTCAAGTGATGCGCACTGCAGAGTGTAGCACAGACCACCGTCTTGTCCGCATGAAATACCGGCTACCTGACGTTGTGCAGCAACGGTACCATCATGATGCACGTTCCAGGCCGCGGAAGTTTGCTGTTCACCAATTCAATCGGAAGCCATTCATGAGTGAAGAGGAGGCTGAGCGTGTGGCTACTGTACGTGCTGAGTACTGTGCTAGTCTTGAATCTCGTTTAGCCACGTATGACCGCGCCTCGTCTGTGGACTGTAAGTGGAGTACCGTGAAGTCGGCTGTTGTTGACGCGGCGGAGCAGGTGGTTGGTCGGGACAAGCGGCGGATGCCAGATTGGTTCCGTGACAATGCCCTTGTATTGGAGCCTCTACTGGAGTCTCGTAATACCCTGTATAGCCAATGGCTGAGAAGCGGCAGGGACTCTGATCACCGGGCATTCAAAGAAGCGCGTGGCCGGGCTCGTACTGGTATCCGGAAGGCAAAAACAACTTGGTTGATGGACAAAGCGGCGGTGGTGCACCGTGGACGTTTCAGTGGCAAAGCTGTCTGGTCTGCCATTCGCGACATGCAACGCTGCTTTGGGGGCTTGCAACCCCTGTCTGTCCAATCCATCCGCAATGCCGATGGAGTTCTTTGCGAATCTGTTCAGGAGCAGCAGGGCACATGGCATGGGCATTTCTCGGGTGTCTTGAATGTCTGCAGTGTGTACGATCCGCATGTCTTCCAACTTATCCCTCAGCGTGAGGTCGAGGACTCCCTCTCACTGCCACCATCGGAGGATGAGCTGACTCAGGCAATTAGACACCTACAGAATGGCAAAGCTGGTGGTATGTCACAGATTGTGCCGGAGCTGCCGGAGCTGCTGAAGGTTGGTGTGCCTGTCCTCCATCCACTCCTCCTGGACCTACTCCAATCTGTCTGGTCGGGGGGTTGCGTGCCCCAGGACTGGCGCGATGCACTGCTGGTACCGATTCCAAAGAAGGGCGACCTCTCTCGTTGCGATAATTGGCGAGGGATCGCATTGCTGGAGGTTGTCGGCAAGTTGGCTGCTCGGATCATGCAAAACCGATTGCAAGGTATTGCTGAGGCGGAACTGCCTGAATCCCAATGCGGGTTTCGGCGGCACCGTGGTTGTGCGGACGCCATCTTCTCTGTCCGTCAACTTGTCGAGAAGTCGTACGAACATCGATCGAAGCTCTTCTGCGTATTTGTGGATCTCCGCAAAGCATACGACTCTGTCCCTCGCGAAGCTCTTTGGCAGGCATTGCTGCGGCTGGGTGTGCCGCCCCCGACTGTGGCCATCATCAAATCATTCCATACAGACATGTCAGCTTGCGTTCGCGTTGCCGGTGGTTGCACGGATCCGATATCTGTCAAGAATGGGCTGCGCCAAGGGTGCGTTATGGCACCTGTACTGTTTAACTTGTACTTCGGCTTAGTTATTGAGCGTTGGCGATCCCTTCTCGTTGAGCGTGGAATAGAGTCTGGTGTGGACTTCAGCTTCACAATTGATGGCCAGCTGTTCCCTCGTGTCACTAGGCGTCGTCCCCACTCCGAGTCCGGCCATGCTGATGACTTCGAGTTTGCGGATGATGCTGTACTGCTCGCTACAACTCGCAACGCAGCCGATCAATCCCTGTGTGCCTTTTGTGAGGTCGCATCCAGCTTGGGTCTCACAGTGAGCATGACCAAGACCAAGCTTCTCGTTGCAGGTTTCGGAGTTTGCCCTGCTGATTGCTCTGATTTGGTCATTGGCAGTGATAGGGTTGAAGCAGTCACCTCATTCCCCTATCTTGGTTCCACCATCACTCCAGACTCGCGGTCGCAAGCGGACATTCGGAGCCGTCTAGCAAAGGGTGCAGGGGCCTTTGGTGGTCTTCGGCGCATCCTACATGACCGGAGCCTGAACCTCCCTACCAGGCGCCACCTGTATGTCGTTTGCGTACTGTCAACGGTTCTGTATGGTTCAGAATGCTGGACGCCGTTGAAGGCAGATTTAGATAGAATGGACCGGTTTCACCATGCCAACATTCGCTCCATCCTTGGCGTATCGCGAGGCCGACAGTGGGAACAGCGCATCTCTTCACAAGAACTGCGAGCACAGTGGGGTGATCCCACACCATTGTCACGCATGGTGCAGCAGAGACGGTTGGAGTGGCTTGGGCACCTGGCTCGTCTTGATGACACCAGAGTACCGAAGCAGTTGCTGTTTGCCTGTCTCCCTCAGTCTCGGCCATTCTGTGGACCTCGTCGTCGCTGGAAGGACACCATTCACACGGACCTATCCGTGGCTGGAGTGCGTAACTGGTTTGAGTTGGCAAGCGATCGTGGAGAGTGGCGTGGAGTGGTGACAGCAGCAGGTGAGGACAAGGAACCCGCCCCGAAGAGCATCGAGTGCCCAACCTGCAACCGTCTGTTCCGCCGTAGTTCCGACATGGTCCGTCACAAGTGTTCAGCAATCCGTCAGCTCCCGGTATCGGAGCAGCCTGGATCAGTACAGTGTCCAACATGCAACCGATGGCTACGTAGCAGAGGAGGCTTTGCGGTGCATAAGTGTCGGCTAGGCGATGTCGACCAGCCGCCGGCCCCTGCCCCTGCTCCTCTTGTTGTTCCTGGTGTAACTTGCACCAACTGTCAGCGTTCATTTAAATCGGCTGCGGGTCTCAAGCGTCACCGTTGTGGAACCTGTCCAAAGCGCCCTACTGTGGCTGAACGCCAACAATTCAAGTTTCACTGCCAAGTTTGCCACAACCGACGGTTCCGGAGGCGGCAAGATCTGGAACGCCACTTGGAGCATTGCCTTCCTCCCCTCTAACCTCTCTGACAGTACACTCAAACGTCTCTTATCCGGACGCCTCAGATACGGGCACGTCTCTCTACCGGGCACCTTCAGCTTGAGTTCCTATGTCTGAAATGCTTGGAATTTGCAGTGTTTGAACTTTTTTCGTATGCGCAAGTGCTTTTTTTGTCACTGCCAACCTGTGAAATCCACACATTTTATCAATGGATTCTTTCTGTAACCTGAACATGTGCAAGAGGTGCCAAATAAACTTCTTCAAAAAAGATATGATACATGGTAGATGAATTGTCCTGAGATACGGGCGAATCTGAGATACGGGCAGTGCCCGGTCCCAAGGTGCCCGGATAAGAGACGTTCGAGTGTACCTCCCTTTGGGGAGCGGCGTGGCCATTTCTGGCAGCTGTCAATAGTAGTAGTGTGTGTGTGTGTGTGTGTGTGTGTGTGTGTGTGTGTGTGTGTGTGTGTGGGTGGGTGTGGGTGCGTGCGTGCGTGCGTGCGTGTGTGTAGAAAGGGTTGGTGGGTGGGTAGGCGGGTGGTGCTGAAACTAGAATGAGATGTATGAGTTTCTCTCCGCAAGTGCTTTTTGCATTCGTTGTACATTGCACTTTGCTGGAACATGGTCTGTTGCATGTTGTCATGTTCTCTATGGCTATGCTGTCATAGATCATTGCACTTCTACAAGCCGAAATACAGCGACTCGAGAATGAGGAGTCATTTACTCATGTAAAGGTAAGCGTTGTTGGTGGTAGTGGTGGTCTTTGTTGCCAGTGCTGCTGCTGCTGTTGCTGTTCTTGTCCTTGTTGCTCTCTTTTTTCTTAAATATTATCTCTATGCTCATGTTGTCGCTGTTGTTTTTGTCGTCGTCAACGTCGGTGTTGTCATCCTCACTGTTTTTCCTGTCATTTCCTTCACCTGTGTGTGCATGTGTGGACAAAATACTTCTGTGTTTGCATGCGTGCATGCGTGTATGAGCGCTTGCGTATGTGTATACAGGCGTGCGTGTATGTGTGTGTGTGTGTGTGTGTGTGTGTGTGTGTGTGTGTGTGTGTGTGTGTGTGTGTGTGTGTGTGTGTGTGTGTGTGTGTGTGTGTGTGTGTGTGTGTGTGTGTGTGTGTGTGTGTGTGTGTGTGTGTGTGTGTGTGTGTGTGAGTATGTGTGTGTGTGTGTGTGTGTGTGTGTGTGTGTGTGTGTGTATGCGCGCGCACGTTCTGTGTAACAATTACTGTACAGTGTGCAGTGTCTGAGCATGTCTATATTTTCTCACTAAATTGGCCCTTTGGTGACTTTTTGCCTATTTTGTTTGCAGGAATCGGAAGCAGTGACTGTGGGTGAATCCAGCTCCAATGCCAGTATAACAACTCCAGGAGAGGACCGAACACATCCTGTGGCTGATAGCGGCCAAGCCAGCTCCGGAAGTAACACGCCCGAGAGGGGATTTTCCCCTGCACAATCTCGCCGCAAAGTGTCCTCCCCCAAGTCGCGCAAGTCGTCGGTGAGTGCATCTGAGTAGGACCCGTGTGCGTGACTACTACCTAGCTCGGTAACACCTTTTGCAGCCTTGCTTTACTTGTGTGGGTGTGTGCATACATTTGTGTATGTGGTGCTAGAGCAAAGGAATGAGTGGAATGCCTGTTCATGGCGAGAACATGTACTTCTGACCTGATACTATTTGCTAATGTAATAATTGTGTGATCTGCAGAATGTTGCCATTCGAAATACTTCCTCTGATGGGTTGACACGAAAGAAGTCGCGCGGCTCATCCTCTGCTCCCAAGCAGGTAGCATCCTCCCCTGTGGAGACAGACAGCGGTCCACTAACCGGTACGGTGGCACAGCTTCAGAAGGAGGTAAGCCTCATCATCCGCGTGTGCCGTAAAAGCCTGTTATAAAGCAGTGTTTATGTTGTGTTTTAAAACTGTTGATTATGCCAGCAGTGCAATCAGATCATTATTCTGTCTGTAACTTGTTCACTGTTACCTGGCCAATGTAGTAACCTGATTGGCAACACTGCTGATCAAGTAGCTTTGTGCAAATTTAGTTGAAAATACGCTGGGTTCATTCTTCCTCTCTCACTTCCATGGCCACATGCCCACACTGGCACCACATGCACTATTGAATGTTCGCCCTATCCTTTGTCCTCTATCAGACCCCTTTTGGCCGAGTAAGCGAGAGCGGTGCAGTTTAGAGATTGCCGGCATGCGGATTCGGTTCCTCTCTATCCTGTTCATCTCCTAGGTCTGTCTATTCTTCTCTATGCACAGATTGATCACTTGCTGAAGCTATGTGCGGATGGCGACGTTCCCATGGTATGTGCATAGGCATCTCTTGTGCAACAGCCTGGTGTTTGGGAGGTGGTGTTCACTGCGAGAATATTTCTCGTGCAGGTGATAATCTGCAATGGAAAATCTCTGGCATAGTTACTTCTGAATTTAGCTTTGTGTGAATCTGAAGATTCGAAGCTTCATGAATAAATGGATACCTTGAACAAGTTGGTTATTGACCGGACACATATGCACTGACCTGGTGAAACCCAGCCCTAACTCAGACTGGGTGTATGACTATGTATTTTTTTAAGTAAGTGTGCTGCCGTTTGGTCCGCTGCCGTACAGGTGCGCTACAAACTAGGATTTGACGAGGAGGATGCAACCAAGAGTGCTGTTGTGTACGAAGAAAGCGATCTTTGCCATCCTCTCTGCGACTGTCCATCATGTCAAAACATCAGAACTGTAAGTCCTAAGCTTGTGTGTGGTTGGGGGGGGGGGGGGGGGGGGGTTGCTGTGAAGAAAAAAAACAATACAGTGCCAATTAATAAAGTGCCATTGATACAAATCCTGGAAGCCGGTGAGAAGTTTTCCCTGAATGGTTTGTGCCCTTTTCCATTTGACCTGCCTGGTCACCTACGTCTTTGAAACCGCCAGAGTTCTTCCGGCCTCCTGGATTATCTCGGAGTAACGGGAGGGAGTTCACAATAGCAGGAGTGGTAGCAACTGTGAAAGCACCAACAATACGCCTTCAAAGTATTCGTTTATTTCAAGGATTCCCCAATTGCTAAAGCCTAGAGAAAAACACAATGGAACGAGTTATGAAGCAACTATCCACGTCTGTAACAAGGTAATAAGCAGTCAGAAAGTGCGATAACTGGGCACAAAACTGACAGGCTACTGAGACATTCAACGACCTGAGGCCTAGCTCTAACACATCTCCGGTCCGCAAACCAACAGCCTTCCAACTTGGAAGGTTCAAGATTAGGTAGGACTGAAGAGGGGAAGGTGAGCACAGCGAAAATGTGCACAAGCCAAGTCCCACGGCAACAAAGAATGCCGTATGTTACAGGACGATGACGAGACCAGTTAGTAACATGACAATGCGGTCTGTCTACAACTCGAAGCAGCAAAGCAACACACCACCCAACTTGGGCGGGTCAGCAATATCAGAGAGAAAGAAAGGGGAAGCTTTACGAAAACGAATTGTACAAAACCGGATGCGAATATCTAACAGTACTCCGCATGCATGACACTATTGTGGATAGTTACTTCATAACTCGTTCCAGTGTGTTTTCCCTCTATTTTGCATTTGCGCTAGTTTCATCATTTTTTTCCGTAAAGTTATTTCCTTCTACTGTACATGCATACAGTTGCGTGTAGAGACTATTCCAGTGTTAAACACTTGTCACTCTGTGTATTTAATGTTGCTGCCGTGGTGCTTGCAGAGGGGTGCGGCCATAGCACGCTTGAGCACGGAGAGTTGCAACACGGAAGGCATGACGTCGCTGCACGTGGCCTCGCTGCACGGTCGCCGTCACGTGGTGCAGCTGCTGCTGCGGCACGGCGCCATGGTCAACTGCAAGAACAATGCCAAGCAGACACCGCTACACCTGGCATGCCAGTATAACCATCAAGACGTGAGTTTGGACAAAAGACCATACACATACAAACAATAAGAGGACGGAAAAGTGTTTTAACTCTGAGTTTCACGCACTAAGCGATCATCAGAAAACAGATGTTTGAACTAGCTCTGCCTCTCGGTATTGAGCACTCTCTTGAACAGCCTGGAACCTCTCTGTTTCACATACCCATACATGTATACATGTATGGTATATGCACGCTGTCATCGTCTTTACATGTACATGTATCTACATGCAATGGTTTTTCTGTATTCTTGCCTTCGCTATTCCAAAACAAGTTCCTGGCACTCCCATTAGCTTACTGGAAATGAATATTGACTTCACCTTGTTCATGGTTTGCCTGTATGTTCTGAAAATGCTCTGTGTGTGTACGTGTGTGTGTGTGTGTGTGTGTGTACGTGTGTGTGTGTGTGTGTGTGTGTGTGTGTGTGTGTGTGTGTGTGTGTGCGTGTGTGTGTTGGTGTGTGTGTGTGTGTGTGTGTGTGTGTGCGTGTGTGTGTGTATGTGTGTGTGTGTGTGTGTGTGTACGTGTGTGCGTGTGTGTGTGTGTGTGTGTGTGTGTGCGTGTGTGTGTACGTGTGTGTGTGTACGTGTGTGTGTACGTGTGTGTGTACGTGTGTGTGCGTGTGTGTGTGTGTGTGCGTACGTGCGTGCGTGCGTGTGTGTACGTGTGTGTGTGTGTGTGTGTGTGTGTGTGTGTGTGTGTGTGTGTGTGTGTGCATGCAGATTGTGATGCTACTGGTGGATTACAATGCCAAGGTCAGTCCACCGGACGTGAATGGCAGAACGCCACTGCACAACTGCTGTGCCAACGGGCACGATGCGTCCGCGGCCATCCTGTTGTTTGTAAGTTTGAATGCATGTACATTGTATACTGAAATAGTTGAATGTCTTTATCTCAGACACCCTGGGGACCAGGGTCCTGTATCCGGAGTGTCTTGTCATTGGATTGGTAGCAGTGAGAACTGTACTACCGTAAAAGTCCGTAAATAAGTACGTATTTACTTTCGAATTTAGTGACCACACCCGTACTAACTTTCGGGCGGGTACTGACTTTCGGGCACGAACAAACTTTCGAACCTGACTTGTGTGTAGTGCAGAAGTATTTTTCATGTCGACGTACATGCTACATGCTGCATGTGCGCATCGTACCGGTACTTATTTCGGGCAGTATGTTTATCGGGCTTGACTTGACTTCAACAGACAGAGCCAAAAGAATGAAGGGGTATTTCTTTCGGGCAGGTACTTATTTACGGACTTTTACGGTATTGCGTTGTCCTGAGTATTGAGATGTCATTTTAGGAGAAATGTCCCCACCAGGAGGTCCTGCTGTGTATGCTTGCATTGGGACTATGCCCCCCCCCCCCATATTTGTATTTTGTATTTATTCAACATTTCCTTGCTTGTCAAACGACTGCCAATAACAAATGAATGCGAAATGAAGGGTGATAGCCAACCACGGCAACTATCCGAAACAGTACAAAAATGTAAAAGGTATGAAGGTGTCGAGAGTCGAAAATAACCCGAAGTTAAGAAGTACAGATGAGAGTGAGTAGAGGAAGGAAGTAGTAGGGGTATGCTGCTTATGTCTTTGGACCTGCAACAGTTTGCTGTTGCATGCTTATATGTACAGATGCGTGCACATCAGGGAGTCGTAGCATCTGGGGATAAATATACCATTCGTACTCTGTGTAAACCGTATCCCTCATATTCCCTCATGCTAACGCACTCCTCATACTCCTGGTATAATCCATACACACGCCGGCCAATGAAATTCGACCTCATGAATAATGTAACGCCACACTCGAGTGTACAGAATAGAGCCGTGCTGCAACCGGCGCTATTTCATTCATGAGGTCGAACTGCACTGCCCAGTACATGTACTTTAGTTATACTGGTATACTGAGACATACACAGCATGTGCATGACACGCAACGTTACAACAATAACTTCACCACTCACTGGACAATTTACATGTGTGTGTGTGTCTGTCTGTCTGTTTGTCTGTCTTGGGGTGTACGTATGCTGTGTTTTGTGCATAGCATGGTGGCGATGTCAATGCACCAGATCGCCGTGGGAACTCCCCTCTCCACCAGGCAGCAAAGTAAGCTCATCCATTGATACAGTGCTGTGTGCTAGATCATTTACTGCAAAGCGAGTCTCTTTTCTTCTTTTTTTGCAGTTGGGGCTATGTTTAGGGACTTTATGGAAAACACCCAAACTTCAGCCTTACCAAATGAGAATTTGTATTCCTCAGATTAGCTTTCTGTACTCTTTGTGTATGCTTGAGACTCAGGTGCTAGAATATGTCTTTTGTTCCTTTTCTTTTTTTACTATGTTCACATACCCAGCTCGAAAAGAATAATGAAAGACAATGGTACGGAGACTAGGACAAACGTGACAACTAATGAGCAGGCGCTGCACCGAGACACAGCAGTGATGGTGGGGCATTGATGGCTCTTCCGACCTGGGGTCTCGACATCACTGCCAAAACACGCACCAAAAAAACAAAAAAGATAGAGCGGTACAGGTCAGAAAATGAAGAGAAAAAAAAGCAAGGCTTAACAGAGCCAGTTTGTGCTGCGAAGATGGCGATAAACGTTCGTTTTAAATGATTGCATTCTCTTGCCGGGGGGAGGCTGGGAAAGAAGAGCGGCAGGGAGGGAGTTCCAATCGCTGATGCTGCAGTGTGGGAACGAGCGCTTCAGTGCCAGCGGGGCAGATGCAGGCAGCTGATGCTGGAGCTGGTGGTCATGGCTACTGACACTACCATGCTCGCTGTGAGTTCTGGGGCTGGTAGAGGGGATATGGCGTGGTGGCAACACAGAGAGTAGCTGGGGAGGACCAGGCAAGTAATGCAGCTTGTACAGCAAGCGAGGCAACAGTACGGCGGATGGCCAGGCTGGGTAG